TAAATAAGCAAGCAAGGACATTTAACAGCCACTTTTCCTATACCAGAACACATGGTGATATAAAACCTGTTTGTTTCTTCCACTGCCAGACACGAATTGCCTTCCCTATCCTGATTTCCCCCAAAAAAACCCAACTAAGCTGCACATCCCAGAAGGGAATCATGGGTTATTTCAAGCCAATGGAAAAAAAATTCAGCCATTAAAAGCTGCATGCAATGATACAAAAGTTCAAAAAGTTCAACAACTTTCCCAAACATTTGGACAAGTGAACCAAAAAAACCCCCTCCCACAAAACAAAGAATGTATGCAGCCCAAACAGAATCCCAGCAACATTAAAACATGTTTCCTCTCTCGAGCAAGAATAATCATTTCACAATGAACAGATAAACCAAACGGCAAGAAGGAATTCTGATGGGGAGGAAGAAACTACTACAATCAATTGGACCAGAAACACCCTCAAGATAAATAACAAAAGGCTATCAAGGACTTTGCTTCTCAGCATTGAACCCAGTTGTTATTGTAATGCAAATGAACCATCAACACACTAGCCAGCACAGTTGGAAAGGTTTATCCCAATAGTCACATGCATTGCTTTTCCTCTAAAGGCTGGCTAGGCCTTCAGCATGGAATTTGCAATCCAGCAAGCAGAAATATGGTACTGTTACAAGATGAGCTTTGTGAAGGAGTGTGAATCAAAAGATGACTTTAGACTTACAGAAAACAAGTATGAAACACTGCTGTAATTCCATTCCAGCAATATTGAGCTCTATGTTAGATATGCCAAATAAAGAAATACTAGTACGTTCTGGCACTGCAGCCTAATGAATAGAAATAGAAAGCACATGAAGATTCCAGGCTTTGTGAGAGCTCGAATCAGGAAAGCAAAGAAAAATTTATTGTCCAGGAAAGCTGCTAAAGTTTATAAAAGAAATGGGTCTGAACAGACAGGAGATGCTACAACACCATAGCTTCAGCCCTTGCACTGTCAAAAACACAGCAGCAATGCAGGCAACTGACAGAGGATGTAAAAGATCCACCCAAATGCAACTCCATGTAATCCTTGTGACAGGAATGACAGCTGTGTATCACCGCACACGGACTTGAAGTGAAACAAACCCAGAGTGGGATCTTACACAATAAAGCCTGCTTTCGGGTTCATTTCTGGACCAACTTCAACTGGAGTCTACTCGCCCAAAAATTTTATTTACAGCAAATACAAAAGATGGATGCAGAAGCCAATTATTCTCCCTCAGGTACAACTCTGCAAACACAATCCAGTCAACCTCATGGAATACAAAAACAACAAGTAAATGAAAACAAAACGAACAGCCCAAACCCAATTTTCAGTCCTGTAAAAGGCTGGAAGGTATAAATATAACAAGCACATTAAAACCCTGATTCATTTTCAGGAAATGCTTTGTAAATTTTGATACACTAAGTAAAAATTAGGTTCCCTATGTGAAAAATTAACCAACTGTTCTAAAATAGTATTTAATAAAGCATACTCAGTGTAAACAAAGTGAAGACTTTACGTAGACCATTTTGTCTTCAGTATGACATGCCTCGAGAAAATAAAACAGGTTAAACTGATTTTATCTTAGAGGGAACTAAGCAAAACGAAGCAGGGTCAAATCTGCAATTTTACAAATAAATGGTTTAGCCATTTAACAAATATTTATAACTAAACTTTGTTCCATTTCTGAACAGCCCAACAAGTTTCTAGCACAGTCAAAACCTCTAACCTCCCTGCAATTAAAAAAAGTATCAAAAATCTCACCAGGCTTTAAAAAAAAACAGATAGAGAGCATATATTTGTTGCTTTAACAAAACCAGTTCTATTTAAATGATCAACGACACAGAAAAAATTACACATGAAATTTTTGCTGAACACAACCAGACTAGTGAACTCACGCACACTTTGTTCACACAAAAGTTAATTTACTTTTTTTAAAAATCTTTTTCCCACAGGTGAGATTATAGGCTCCTGAAGAGACAGACAGACCGTTATGCGGGTGTCTACAGAGTAAGAAATAACAGTATTATCAGTTTGACTTTGAAATATGTGTGTTAGCAAAACGTTAAGTCAAAATAAATGGTCAGAAAACAAATATCTATTTTTCTTTTAGCAAAATGAGAGAATTTATTTTCCCTTGCAAGTTACAGCACAGCACGATTGTATAAGACACATCAGTGAAGATTAAATAGTTCAAGACAAAAGAATGCATCACAATTTGAACAAACAAATGCATTTCACTTATGGAAAAAGAAGGAAATTTTTACCACAAACTGCACTTTTACCAGAGTGCTGACAAAGCAGGAGTCATGTAATGGCTTAAGGCTGTGTTCTTTCCAGCCTTTCTATCAAGTGTCTAGATATACACAAAGTAATGTGAGCAGTCAACTGCTTGCACACAGTTCTTAAGACCTTCTTTTTTGTGGTTTGTAACTACCATTTTCTGAAAATTACTTGCTCAGTTACATTTTTATTATTATAGTCTAAAAACTGTTCTGGTTACTGTTATAAAAAAAGACAAGTACCAGTGACTGCTTCACAGAATGCAAAATAGAGCAGTTTACAAGCATTACCCACATAACAAATGAAGACTTAACATTCAGAGCATAAAATTTATCTCCCAGTAACTTTATGAGAACATGACAGTCTAGATAATGTCACTGGAAAAAATGTTTCAAACTGTGATAAACTTGCTCTGTTCAAGTTTAGAAAAATAACTGGGGTTTTGTTATATCCAATCTTCACAGGCCAGTTAGAGCAATTTATACTCAGGAGGCCACAACTGAATAGAAAGGGTAAAGTAGAAAGACTGTAGTTAGTTGATTAAAATATAGAAAGCAGAATTGCAAACAATTCCAAAAAAGAGTAAATAATTGATTTTTAAGTTTGGGGGTTTTTTTGTGAAGACAGATTTTGTGCTAATTCAGATGAAGCTATGGCTGCCCCATTTCATGGCATTCAGCCTCCATCCCGCCAAAAGACATAAATGCAACCTAACAAAATTAGCCTCGAAAGTTTTACCTTCCTTTTTGTATCTAGGGAACACCAGCCACAAGCAGTTCTCACTAGCTCTCATGCAGTTTGCATCTCACTCGTGCTAGAGAGCCAGATTTTCTCCGTCACCTCTTGGTTCTTCAATCTGTTGGCAACTAAGACAGCCTGATTCCCAGCTAGTTAAGGGAACCTCTGTCCAGAAAACAAAAAGAAAAAATACTCTGGGAAGGTACTGAAGGACTGACTGTGCTCAAGAAGAGGGCAGTCTGCTAGCTACAGCAGAAGCTAAAGGTGGTCTCTGGACTATGCCCAGCTCACAGAGCTGCAGCCTACACCTGTGACACGAAGGTGTTTGCAAAGAGGAGAGGTGTAAGAATAACATCAGACAAGCTCCAAGCTAAGGACACCACTAGGTCATGTTGCAAGTTATCAGATAAAACCTAAAGATTTGAACAACCCAATGGGCTTCCAGATTTTGCCCGAAGGAAGACTACATACCCTACTAATTTTCCCAGACTGAGTAGCACACAGCACAGTATCTGGAAAGGCACAGCACACAGATTTTCTATGGAATCCACAGATTTCAAAGCTGTGCCATCAGGCTTGCATATATAACTATTGCAAACACAACCAAAATCACATTTTCTTAAGAGTGCCTTTTTTTTTCCTGGAAGACACCATAGAGTAACAAAGAAAGAAAAAGCTTGGAAGTACTTACCAGATGTACCTACTAAGAGTTTCCCATCTCCTTTCGCCAAAAAAAAGGATTCTAATCCTACAACAAGGCCAATTCCTACCTAAGTTTAAAGTTCACTCCACATTCCCAGAAATACGTGGCGCTTCTCAGTGCCTTGCCTAAAAGGTTGCAGAAGGCACACAATGGAACAGCTGCTGTGTTCCACTCCAGTGCCAGCCACATTTCAATGGCAGATTAAGTGGTCCAGAACCAGCCTTACCTAACTCACAGGGGTACAGTGAAAGCTGTTTATAAAGCCATACAATGATGAGACATACTAAGTATCTTTACACACACTAGTGCAGTCATGCTGGGTTGAACACTGCAAGACACAGAACTTGAAAACTCTACAGTTACAAATTATTGTCTTTGTCCTGCTGTTATACTGCAACATATTATTATTTGCATTTTAATGTTCTTGCATACACCTTCAGGGCAGGAATCCTATTATCTGAACTACCTCTACTGTCATGTAATTCTACAGTGCTTTAAAAAAAACGTAATAGTGAAAACCAACCACACAATATACACTAATTCCTTATCATTCTCCCTCTAAATTTCAGCAGAAAGCTGTATTCAGTAATAATGAGGACATTCAACTGGTAAGTTTCCTTAGATAATTTTGTTTGGAGTTCCATTGCACCTTGAAGATTTGGGGAATAACAAATCTATATTTAAACAAGTGTGCCTAAAGCATTCTAACAGGTCAGACAGCTCAACAAAATAAAGCAGCAAGTACATGTACAGCCATGAACGCCTACACTTTTTTTTGGTAACAATTTTCACTAAGGAAGTGATAAACTTGAACACAAACCCCAAAATACATTCTTTCTTGGTGGCAATTCTTCAATTAATACATTTTTTTTAGATAAAAGATGATACAAGTTAGAAATATTAGAATGTAGTGAATGCCTTGGACTAACACTTTCTTAGCTATAATCACAAATAATTGCCTCTTCTTATACTAATGAGCAAGGCAAAATGGAAAGTAATTTAGACAATTCATTGAGGGTAATAGCTTTGTGAGCTAATATTACTACCGAGAGATCCATTCTCAATTTCCTCCAGTACAATAACAGAGCAGCACTAAGTTTTTCACTTCAGGGAGCTTTTCTATCCTATGTAAATATAAACAGAAATCCCATTATCTATTGATAAAAACAACAAAGCAAGTTAAATAAAGTTTCATATGTTACACTTTCATATAAGAGCCATTAGCTCCTTGGATCACAAGTGTAAATAAAACACTTCACTTACTGAAATCAATGAGAAACCTTCCAAATCCTTGCCTTTGGTATTGGGGCATGATCATTATGCAGGAGACATTGTACTTCTGCTGGCAAAGCTTTTCCTGTGGGAAGGAGAAACAGATCAAGTATGTCAAAGCACTGCTGAAGTGGGCAATTGCCTGCACCTGCCACTGTCCTTGTAAAATATCCCAATAAGGTGAACAGATGTATGGGGTCACTACCAAAGTCAAATAATTCCACATTAATATTTAATTGTAAGAAGCAAGTATCAAACACACCCTTCAAAATATTTTTTTAAATTAGTTAACTACTCAGCATATTAAAAATTAAATACATTGTCTGAACAGCATAAAGAAGTGCTGTAAAGGAGGAGGACAGGAGGAAGAGGGAAATATTTTTATGCTTCATTGACCATTCTGCCAAGGATGTAAAAGTGGAATATAATGCCCATACACATGGTGAAGTTGCACTTTCTTCAAGTGCTACACTAAGTGCCTGCTGGTTTCCGTCTTTATTCTGTCTTCTCTGAATGAGTATGTGGTCAGGGTACAGGGGAAGAACTTCACACGTACAGAACTAAAGTTTTACTTGCAGCATACTAACTTTTTCAAAGCTGAATGCTTCTCAGCTGAATCCAAATCAAGGCAGAAGGCTCACAATGCAGAGCTCTTTCAGACAGAATGAAGTCATATACAGGCAATGGGGTAAATATCACACTGACTGTTTAAGATAACAGAAGGAAGAAGCTAAACTAGGAAGCTGTTCTAACTATATAAATTTATAGTTTATTTCCCATTTATTGATAACAGGTTACACAAAAAAAAAAACCACCCCAGAAATCAGCAATAGGTGGTTTTGAGGGAGACCAAATAAATCAACCAAAAATATCTAGGTCAGCATAACCAACAAGAAGTCGTGGTAAGCACATGTATCATTTCAGACACCAGCTATCACTTCAGTCTCCACACTTAAGGTGACACTAGACCAGTGATGACACTGACAGGATCACATGCCAGTACACTCATTCCCAAACGTTTCATCAGCTGTGAGAGCAGATACTCAAGACATATTTCACAAGGTTTCTTAGTTTCCACAGTATGGTTAAATATTTTCTCTGTACAGGCTTCCCAAACTCAAGACTGCTTCTAAAAAAAAGTTAACATCCTGGCAACACATTTGTCATCAGGTAAGAAAAGCCAGAGCATTTCAGCCAACAAGAGCAAACACATATTTTGTAAAAAAAACCCAAAAAAAACCAACAACAACAAAAAAAGACCAAAACCAAACAAAAGAGGGGAGGAGACACAAATGGAAGATGTGGAATAATCTGAAAAGAAGTTTTTTCCCTAAGTTTTGGTAGCAATAACATTTGTGACCAGATGTGGCAAACAGACTGGCCAAAAGCAACAGGGGTGAAATGGAGGAAGAAAATATATTCACTGTTTGAGGGATGGTGTGCTAGCAGGGTCCTTCATTCTGCCACCTGAGTAGAGGCAGGAGATGGAGATCCATGCAGCCGCAAGGATACAAGAGTGATTGTGTTAGAAACCATGGAAGGACCTGAGAATGGTAACTCAGCAATTAGAGCTTCTCTCCCCAAAAAGGTGGTGGGATTGAATAGTCCAACTGAAGCACATCTACACCAATACACACAGCATGGGCAACAAACAGGAGGTAATGGAAGCCATTGTACAGCAGGAAAACTATGACAGTTGCCATTACAGAGACATGGTGGGATGACAGACACAACTAGACTGCTGAAATGGAGGGCTATAAATTCTTCAGAAGGGATAGGCAAGGAAGATGAGGCAGTGGGGTAGCCTTGTATGTCAGGGACTGTCTCGACTGTCTGGTGCTTAATCAAAATGCTGAGGGGGTTGAGTGTTTATGGGTAAGAAGGTGGACAGGGCAGATATCCTGGTGGGAGTCTGTTACAGACCACTCAAGCAGGATGAAAAGGCAGTTGAATTTTTCTATAAGCAGCTGCGAAAAGTCTTGTGATCACTAGCCCTTGTTCTCCTGAGGAACTTCAATTTACCAGATGTCTGCTAGAACTACAGCACAGCAGAGAAGAAGCAGACTAGAAGGTTCAGGGAGTGTGTGCAATATAACTTCCTGATGCAGCTGGTGAGGGAGCTGACCAGGGAAGTGCCCTGCTGGACCTGCTGTTTGGGAACAGAGGACTGGTGAGTGATGCGGTGGCTGTAATCATGGACAGAGTTTTTGATTCTTGGAGAAGCAAGGAGGGGAGTCAGCAGAACTGCTGCCTTCAACTCCCAGAGGGCAGACTTCAGCCTGTTTAGGACACTGGTTGAGAAAGTCCCTTAGGAGGCAGTCCTGAAGGGCAAAGGAGTCCATGAAGGCTAGACATGCTTTAAGAAACAAATTTTAAAAGATACAGGAGCAGGCCATCCCCATGTGCTTCAAGATGAGCCAGCAGGGAAAACCAGCCTGGCTGTACAAAGAGCTTTGTCTCAAGCTGAGGGGAAAAAAAAGTGTGTTATCACCTTTGGAAGAAGAGGTAGTCAACTCAGGAGGACTACAAGGGTGTTGTGAGTTTATGCGAGGAGAAAATTAGAAGGGTCAAAGCCCAGCTCGTATCTATGAGCCAGCAGTGTGCCCAGCTGGCCAAGTAGGCCAACAGCATCCTGGCTTATACCAGGAACAGTGTGGCCAGCAAGACTAGCGAAGCAATCATTCCCCTGTACTTGGCACTGGTGAGGCTGCACCTCAAATCCTGTGTTCAGTTCTCGACCCTTCACTACAAGAAAGACATTGAGGTATGGGAGCAAGTCCAGAGAAGGGCAACAAAGCTGGTGAAGGGCCTGGTGCACAAATCTTGTGAGGAGTGGCGGAAAGAATGGGGGACGTTTAGCCTGGAGAAAAGGAGGCTCAGGGGTGACCTTATCACTCTCTACAACTACCTAAAAGGAGGTTGTAGCCAGGTGGGGGTCACTCTCCCAGATAACAAGTGACAGGTTGAGAGGCAATGGCCTGAAGTTACACCAAGGCAAGTTTAGTTTGGATGTTAGGAAAAATTTCTTCACTGAAAGGGTGCTCAAGAACAGGATGCCCAGAGAAGTGGCAGAATCACCATCCCTGGGAATGCTCAAAAAACTTGTAAATGTAGCACTTGGGGACACATTTTAGTGGTGACCATGGTAGTGATGCCGAGAAAAGGGCTGGAAAAGAACTACTCACAGACTTGTATCTCTGAGTAGCAGATATTTGTTTATTCAGCGCTGGGCACAAGGGGGATAGCTCCACCAAACTTGTGCTCTCAGGGACAAAAACTTCACAGTTTATATACAT